TAGAAATAAATCTCCTTTTAATCCTCATATAATCGTATTAAATTTTTTTTCAAAAAAGCATGTCGATATATTAGTTATGTGGTGAACAGTGGTCACTTACCTATTTGGAAAAGAAGAAAGAGGAAAAATTCTTAAGGATTTATTTAATACCTATTAATTATCCGGTGGTTATTTCTCCACGGATTAGTCTCCCTAAACAATGGATAAGGACTGAGTTATGTAGACGGAGCGGGGGGGGAGTAAGAAACGACATTAGAACATTGAAAACGAAGGACAGTAACCATAATTTTTATGTTCTCAATAATAAGGCGAAAAGAATATATACTTTGTTAGACGATGAAATGACAAATCAATCAGTTTTAGAGTGATATGTGGGGATTCGATTGTCTCAGCTAAGTAGAATCGAGTAGAGTGTTGATGAGAACAGCTCGAAACAAGTTAAACTGCCACAAAGTATTTAGACAGCTTCAATCCGCGTGGGAAGGAAGTACCACGGGTTGACTTGAGTGGCATCAAACTACTGACTGTGCGTCAGTGGCACACGGGGTTAGGACTCTCGCTGATCATGCAAACAGTCCGGGTTCGATCCCCTGCCGACCCACACCTGATATCTATGATCGGGTTGCAAAATTTGGGCTACCGATATCACATACTGAAAATTCCATACCTGTACCAAAAATATGGTGTGGAATAAAGCTGTAATCAAAAATATAAAAAAATAAAAAATAAAATCAGTAGTGTGTAGAATCAAGAAAATGCTAAGATAGAAATCATTCTATACACTGAGGTATTCAGTGATAGTGCATCCCAGTGTAGTCAGTTGAAGTCGTACAGTTTATATGTGGATGATTTCATTGTTGTGTTTACAAGACTAGCCATTCATTATCCTCAAATCGTTAGACACTTTTATAGGATTCGACATAAGAAACAAAATTTAAATTTTTCAGGTTAATGTCAAGTTAGTCAGTGCTTCTATACAGTTCGGAGAATTGGTTCGTCACCAACAGTAGTTCCAACATACTAGTGGAAACTTCCGATAGAAACTGCGTTCTACGGCTCTGTACGGAAAATCAGGTACCCATTTAAGAACGATTGATAACACAGGGAACTATTATTTAGCAGACATGACAAATGGATCGATGACATGCTGAGAAGACTGCTGATTACAGATCAAATAATGGATTACAACAGGAACTTTTTAACATAAAAATTTGGAAGTATTGGTTTTGTAGGCATTGTGTTTGATTGGTTAGAGGGTTTCATAAAGAGCTGACACCAGTTCGGAAACGACTAGAAAACCTGGAAGTACTGAACAGCTATTTCGTCCTAGTCTGGGACTCTTCATCAGCACGCACCTTGCGATAGCTGAAGTGCCCAAACTGCATTGACTAAAAGACTGAATGGCAAAGGAAACTGAAGTCAATATTATCTCTACCGTATATTTCGTCGTGTTTACGCATAATATATTTTTCAGCACTGGCAGACGCAAACAAGTAATGATATCAACTATGTGCACAACTGAAGTTAACAGAGATCTTAACGTAGATCACACTTACTCCCTGATAAAGGTCACTTCGTATCAATAAAAGGTAAAATACTGACCAGGTCAACAAAAAGATCAGTAATAATACAATTTTTTTTCATCAACGTAGAATTTCAAAAGCATTTTTTGTTGTGAGGTTGAAGCTGAAAAGTATAGCAAGAAGGATAATGGCAGGTTTGCAATAAAAGGTCAAGAAACCTTTTGGAATCACAGCGTTTGCCGAATTTCCACAAAACATAGATATTGACTTAAAATCTATTCTCCCTGTCATTTTGATTGGCTTTCTACTGAAGAACTTGAATAAAAAGGCGAAATGTCGGTCCAGTATACTCTGGTTGCCAATAGTTGACGAAATTATAACTATCAGTGACTAAAATTCATTCTAAACAAAGTCCCAGAAACCGACTCCCGAAAATTAGTCTGATGTTTACTGGTGACTGACTAAAAGACAAAGTTGCCTGGAATTTTGGTGAGTAGTCACCAAATCAGGTATGAGGACAATTATTAAACGACAACATTGTTTTGTTGTCGCACTACATATCGCGAATCGGCTGAAGTTAGAGATCATGAGCTAGTGGACTTCGTCGCAATGGCTGAATGATCAATGGACTCATCTCATGACTTCCATGTCGTGGGCTTGATTCAAGATAGGATAAGTGCTGCATACTTGCGAAGAGACTTAAACTAGGAAGAAACAAGTTTTAGGCACCCCTTGGTTTGAAGGGTTCACTAGTGGTGCTCAAATTTGATTTAGTTGGATTCTGAATGCTAGATCGAGGACACATATCTCGTACTATTTTGACCTCGCGTAAAGAGTACACCTATGTGTCATATTGTTCATAGTGAGACTTAAATTGACAACCCATCGTATTAGAGATCCACTAGGCTAGTGAGTCGATTCTTGTGAAATGGGTATCATTTGAAACTATGCATTCATTTTTTCTGATTTTCAGATGATAGGGAAAATGAGCTTCAGTTCACCTACTTTTTGTGAAGCTAAGTATACCAGTCGTTCGATGCGTATTCTGTCTAAAAGGGTTCACTCAAGTAGTAGTGGCTCTATAAAGAGTATGTTGTGGTTGAACACCTTGTCAACACTGGTTATTCTATCTCAACAAACGTCTCCTTGAAAATAATCTGCAAAGTTTTCTCATTAGCTTATATCCACACAGCACAATTATATCGATTTATCGGTTTTTCATACTTGTTGCGTCATCTCAAACTCTGCCCCTTTTTCTAACTTCCAATTTATTTATTTATTTATTTATTTATTTTGATTACAGCTTGATGCCACACCGTATTTTCGGTACAAGTATGGAATTTTCAGCATGTGATATCGGTAGGCCAAATTTCGCAGGCCAACCATAGATATCGAGTGTGCGTCGGCAGAGGGTCGAACGCGCACCCTGTGCATGATCGGCGAGAGTCCTAACCACTGTGCCACTGACGGACACAATTAGTTATTCCCGTCTTGATTACACCTCGCATTATGTAATACGTTTTGTAGGAAAACTTTGCCATTATCTGAGTGGTTTTTATAAATTCTTTGTTATATAAAATTATGAAAAAGAGAAGACGTTCAGTGAAGAGACTCATTCACATAGCTGTACAATCGCATTTATATATAATTATTTGTGTGTGTACATGAGGTTTGTCAAGTTTAGATAATTGACCAGGGAATACAAAAATGATCTAATATACAAACAAGGTAGATTAGACAGCAACTAAAATAATATTGAGTTTGTGAGTTAGATGGCGTAATATAATTGACTAAATGTTTAATAATAATAATTTTTTTATTACAGCTTGATTCCACACTGCTTTTTGGTACAAGTATGGAATTTCCAGCATGAATATCGGTAGCCCAAATTTTGCAGGCTGATCACAGATAACAGGTGTGCGTCGACACGGGATCGAACCTCGGACCATGTGCATGGTCGGCGAGAGTACTAACCACTGTGCCACTGACGCACACATTAGATTCAAAAGAACAAGAATTTCATCAAAGATGTCGATCTTTTCGGCGATTTCATTCTCAAAAGCTGTACAATCGCATTTATATAGATTATTTCACATGGATACAATTATTATTTGTTTAATTCCACATAATAACGAAGGTGATAATTATTTTCAACTTGATATGAATTACAAGAGGCTTAGAGACGCAGGGATAGAATGAATTCCAGGTGTGAACAATATGAGCATGGAAACACGTTGAAATCAACTTGAAATGTAAGTTAGGAGGTGTGAATATAGATTACAAGAGGCATAAAAACAAAAAAAATTACACAGGATTAGAATAGAATTGTAAGTCAGGATAGGAACAGAGGTAATTACAGGTACAGACTAAAAAGAAATGGGTAGAGAATAATGCCATTTAGATAAGAACGAAACTTGAGCAAATTAGTTAGATAACGTAATATAAATGATTGAGAATTGAGCGTTGGTCAAGTTAGTAACCATGTGCTACTGAGGTGTAGAAATTAAATCGAGTGGGGGTAAAAAACAAAAAAGTTGAAATTGTAAAATATTACAATTGAGAAGACAAAATAATGCTAATGAAGAGAATGAACTTCTTCTGTATGCAGAGTTCAGAAGTTAGCAAGTGAGTCACCATTGCTTCTGCAGTTTGAAGAAGTCGCATTTGTACACCTCTATAATTACGATTGTTCAGCTTATAAAAAGGAATCGTAGAAAGGAAACTTTTTCTCAGCTGTGTACATCATTTTCTTATATCTTCCTTCTTTTTTTATGTTCATCATGATCACAACTCACTCACTGTGTAACTATAATGCACTTATTTCCCTCCTCTTATCCATTGGCTGTGCGTCAGTAGCATAGCGGTTAGGACGCTCGCCGACCATGCACATGGTCCGGGGTTCGATCCCTGGCTGCCGACTCACTCCTTTACCTCGCTAAGCCAGAAACAATGCTGGTAAAGTGGGAAGGTTGGACATGAGGCTAGCAACCTCATCCTATCAAAATAGACACTGCTACAGAAACTACAAGCCACTAGCATGAAGCCCCATGTTCCACCGGGGAACATGAAGGAAAAGCAAAAATCCATTGGCTAATATTGACAATCATGTTTGCCACAACTCATCACTTATCACTCACTATCCTCCATCGTGAAAAAAAAAATTTTGCAGATAAATGCGATTTTAATGGCTAAAGAGAAAGATGAATTCGTCAAGAAAAGAGTCTCTACACTGAACGGCGTATTTTGTTTTCACTTGGTATCTATTTATATGCCTAAATAAGACTACAATATCTACAAAAGGAATCCTCATGAGACTACATAGCCTTTACATTTGATCAAATTAAATCCTTACCTCTATTTAAGCGTATTTGTAGTATAATTTTGATGCGAAAATTAATCAACTCTATTTTTTCTCCATATTTTTTGTAAACTTTTCTTTCTTATATGTATGTATATATTTTCATTGTTTCTTATCAGATTTGTCCATCAGGCGTTGCAAATAAAGAATCATTTGTAGGAATTTATCAAAGATTTTTCCCTAATCGAGGTAAGTAAGTTGTCACAACTATTTTTTTGGGGTTCTCCTATCCTCCTATTCGTTTACAACAAAACCTATGGAGTGGAAGGGAACAGAGTAGTGTTCAACTTATTTTTGATTGTTTTGTATTAGTTATAGCATCAATTTTTTTAAAATTTCCTTTTGGAAGAATATTGAAAGGCAGACGAGTTGTCTGTCTGACGATAGGCATGTGTTAACTCTAGAGAAAATCAATAGTCGTTACTCAAGTGTAAATGTCTGGAAAATGCCTTCGAGAAAAATACCTTTTAACTGTTAAATAGTACTGTTTTGTCAATGTCTTATTATATTACCACAGGGTTTTCATCCCAACCGACTCACTCCTAATATCTACCTAGAGAATGGGAAACTTGAAAAGATGCAGGTGTAGATTAGGCCTTGGTCTAGCGACTCTGTGACGTGAAACCTTAAAGCGCTGTTCAAAACTTCAAATACTGAAGCTTAAAGTTCTAGAATTCTCGTCAACCATACATGTGGTCCACAGTTTGATCCCCAGCGGAATCACACCTTAACCTTGCTAAGTTGGTTGTATTATCATTATTATTATTTCTTTTAATTCCTAGAGAAACATAGGGCTTCAGTCGTGTGCCTTCATTGAGTTTGGTTCTCTGCTGGAGTTTACACCTGGCTCTAAGTCTGCCCACATGCTTTCATCCCCTCTTCACATCACCTCCTCCAAGTCACCCTTGCATTGACGACCAACTCGCCGCTTCCCTTCGAGGGCTTGTCTAGTGATGTCACTAGATGATTTCCTCGGGGTATGGCCAATCCATCTCCATTTCTCAATAATAATAATAATAATTTGCTTTATTCCAAAACAGCACTCGTGATACAGAATGGAATTCTCAGCATTTTTACTACAGTATTGCAACCAGTTGGTACATTAACAACAAATAAAATTCTACACAGATAATCTCAGTTCATTATGACAACGACAAATTGGCATGTCGATAGCAAAGCCAAAAGTCAACAAAATGTTTGAAGGTGTTAGAAAAGTAGATGCTAGCATATTTACTGGCATAAGCGGTAACAAACAGGTCGAGATATACAGAGTATGAATGAACGAAGAAGAATGGTTTAAGTAGTTTTTTAAGGAGGAAAGAAACAAAGAAGCACATAACAAAAAAGAGAGTAAAGGAAAAGAAAGAAAGAAAACGTTGTACCTATAAATGATATCAGTTGGAAAGACGAGATCCAGTTGTTCTACTGACTATTTAATAAGTCATCAGTTTCACACCTTAAGCTTTCTTTATCGCACAGAACACGAGCTAAGTAGGGTATGGTTGAGGTTTTGTACTTTTCTTCCTGCCTATTTGTTGCACAAACGGTTCTTGGTTGCTTCGCTCTCAGAGATCCCTGTTGCTGACCTTTTCTAGCCATCTGATCTTGAGTATTGAGCGAAGACAGCTGTTAATGAATGTTTGTAGTTTGTTCGAGGTGCTGTTTGTAAGACAGATGAGTAGGAAAAGTTGGATATGGGACTAGCGGTCCTACTAGGTAAAAATGAGACCACTGCTACCGAAACTTCAAACCTCTCGCATGAAGCCCTATGTTCCACTGGGAAGTAAAATAAAAATTCACGAATCAGTTAATGAAGTTTCGCTTTTCAACAGGTTAGTATTTCTAGTTGATGTTAATAAAGAAAAAAGATACTCCTGTTGCCCTGTCCTGAAACACATGTCCCCTGATGGTATCTGGATATCGGGACTAGCCAACAAACCCATTTCATAGTCATCTACAGAATACCCTGGGATCTTTCTAAAAGGAATACGAATCAAACTTCTCCAAATGGCAGAAGCGGTGGTCACTTACGTGTTGAATGTTGAAATCGCCATACGGAAGATATTTCTCTAGTCAACGAACCCCTACACCGGACTTGCTACCGGGGAATAATCTCGTTGACTTGGAATATGCAGACGATATAGTCCTTCTAGGCGAAGACGCTGACAAAATGCAGAGTCTTCTAAACACCTTGAACAGCAATCTACGAATGTTTGGCATGCGATTCGCTCCCGCCAAATGCAAGATGATGTTACAGGACTGGACTACACTGACTCCTAGATTAGAAATAGGGAGTGAAGTGGTAGAGCACGTTGACCGCTTCACTTATTTGGGAAGTACCATCAGCACCAACGGGCTGATCTCTGACGAAATTTCAGCACGAATACAAGGGGCTCGTTTCGCATTTGTTAGTTTACGCCGACTCTGGCGTAGACGAGATGTTCGACTATCGACCAAAGGGCGGGTGTACTGCTCATCAGTCCGCTCCGTCCTCCTTTATGGTTGTGAGACCTGGTCACTGAGAGTGGAAGACATGAAAAGATTAGCTGTCTTTGACCATAGGTGCCTGCGCTCTATTTCCCGTGTAAAGTGGCATAATAAGGTGAGCAACATTGAAGTTAGGCGTAGAGTTCTAGGTAGACAGGGGAAATCAATCGACGAAGTCGTTAAGCTACAAAGACTGAGATGGTTAGGACATGTGTTACGTATGCCAAGCCATCGCCTCCCTCGACGAGCAATGTTAGCGGATATAGGGTCAGGCTGGAAAAAAGCTAGCGATGGTCAAACAAAAACTTGGCATCAGTCAATGAAATCCACAACAGTTGGTCTAAGCCACGTAGAAAGGTGTAGACTTCCAGGCTGGGGTCCTCGGGACGGTAAAAATCTATGGTTGGAAACAATTTGTGACATGGCTCAAAACCGTTCTCAGTGGCGCAGATGCATCCACTCCCTGTGACTTATGATCTTCAATGAAACTGTTTTGTATTTATTTATTACTCCTTTGTCTCACACCTCTGCTCACTGTTTCTATTATGCTTTTCTTGTACTTTCTTCTCGTGCTTCGCGTGCTACACGGAATGTGGCGACTTGAACTTCCGCATATTTCTGCAAAGTTCTATGTCGAAAACAGACAGACACCGGACCTCATCTGTCTTAACAACGAATACATAATTTTTCGTCACTTTCTTTTATAATCGCAAGGAGGGTTTCATCATGAGCTGAAATCAGTTAGAGGACCACTGGAAAACCTGCAGGGATTACTGCTAGACTGCTGTCTCCTCCGTACTAGTTCGGGACTCTTCAGCAGTACGCACCCACCGTATGCGTTCCAATCCGAGGCGAGCTCGTAGACCATTGAGCCACTGAGACCCCATACAATGGCGAGCTCATGAATTCTAACTTCTGCCAATTCACGACATAGCGCGACTTTTTCGAAATGTCCTCTTCGTTGAGTTACTGTCTCATCTTCAACCTGCTATACTCTACTGGTCACGGCTTCCCGCTAGAACCCCAGATCAACTGCCTGAATAGGACCATTCACTATTGTATTGGTTTTGTAGGAATTGCATGCAGGATTTCATCATGTACTAACATCAGTTAGAGATCCACGGGAAAACCTGGGAGTACTTAACACATGTTTCGTCCTAGTTTGGGACTTTTCAGAAGTACGCACCCACCGGAGTTCGAACTCAGGACCTTTCATAATTGCAGTGGTTCCTCCCCTAACTGCATATTAAATTTCTACCTCTTATTATACCAGTGCTGTTAACTTGACTCTCGTTCAGTTTTAGTTGAATTCTACTCAACCCCATAAATTTCCTTATTTGATAGTGATATGTTAGTCTTTCGGGAAACATAAACGTAGTTTCTCCACATGAAATCAATTATATCTTGTCTTCACTTTAAAGTCGAAGTTTCGGCACATAACATACTCTGTTCTACCTCTTGAAAAAATAAAATATTTGAATTAATTTGATGGGTGGTGGCTAGCAGTTGAATCCAAGATGCGCACATTTTGTTCTGTTTAAGAATCATCGCCCGGATTTATCTGCATTCTCCAGTGAATGATAATGTTCTTAGCGGGACTCGAACCTAGTACCCATCGTTTGAAACGCTAAAGCGTTATCTACTAGACCACTTGGGCTACAAGAGCCAGCTGTTGTGCCACGGGTATCAGGTGTTATTTAATTAAGTTAAGGGGATTTCCGTTGATTAATTAGACTAAAGTGTTCAGCCTATTGTGGATAATGCTATGGCGTTTAAAACGATGGGCGTAGCAGTGTTCCAGCCTCGATTGGAAACCTTCATCACGCACCAGGGAATTCAGGTGCATGCAGATAACGGGTTTCAAATAGGACGCAGTGCACATCCAGCATCTCACTGTGCTAGTCGCCATTCACCAGCTTACTTCGAATTAAGTCCTTAGATATCGTCGAAGCATCCGTACTAAGAGCCAAAATGTCAACAAATGCCGAACACTTCGGTTGGGTACTTTGTGTCAAAATTCATCACATGTATATTCTACTGAAATTGAATACATTCACCGTGCTTTGTGTTTGGTTGAGAAATGTGCCTGTGATCACTACCTGGCCTGGTTTATATACTTTGTCTTTAATTTGTTCAACTGAATACCAATGTGATCTCAGAACACTCAGATCTGCTGATGAAATCCTTTAAATTTGTATATGTAATTAGACCAAACCCGTCAAATGGAGTGAGTTCAAGGCGGTGAATAGCCTTAAGTCTCCTCTTCACACGATCCCCTCCATGTCACCTGTGAAGCTGCCTCCAGCCCTGTGTTTCCCATTCCCGCTCCACTCAAGCACGTGGCGTGTTTTGCCTCTCTCTCAATAATCTCCATAGGGCGTTTGCAATTCATTTCCATTCTCTTCTATTATTATATAAGCTTTATTCCAAATCAGTACTTGTGATACAGAATGGAATTCTCAGCATTTTACTACAATATTGCATCCAGTTTTTACATTAACAATAAATAAAGTTCTACATAGATTAAAGATTATCTCAACAACATATTAGTATGTCGGTAGCAAAGCCAAAATTAAAATGTTTGAAGGTGTTACAAAAGTAGATACTACTAGCATATTTACTGGCGTAAGCGATAGCAAAATGGTCGAGATATACAGAGTGTAAAAGAACAACAAGAATGTTTTAACTAGAGTTTGCAAGGA